CCACGCTGGCACTTGTTTTCGTCACCCTCTTTGGTGATTTTTGAGTGGAGATCCCGAGAGCCTTGAGTCTTTCAACCCTGCCACTTGCCAGGGTTGGAAGAAGTCTTATGGAGCTGGGCGCTGAATTTGTGACGAAGTCGACCGACAGACGACCCAGACGTGAGGAATTGGTGACGTGACGAGAAACACCCCAACGACGCGCAATCGAGGTTTAGGTCAGTGGGGAGTGCCCCAAAGCCCCAAGACGCTCCCGTCTTGCAACTGATCGAGGTTTAGGTGAAAGACTGGTGGATCATGGTGGATCCATGTGAATCCCATTGTTTTCTTTCTTGCGAAGCACCTCAAGTCCAAGGCTTGTGCATCTGGGTAACCCATGTGGCCATTGCATCGAGAGTCCAGCCATCCAAACTTCGTGGAACCGATCAGGGATGCTCCAGATTCTTGGCAATTTCGTCCATTCTTCCACCACGGGACCAAAGACCAGGGCGGATGGGTCCAGATTGCTCAGCTTGCTCGACTTGGTCATTCCAAGTCGTTTTCCCATGGAAAAAGACACCATCTCCCACCAGCTCCAGGGCCGGCCCAGCCCAGCGGCCCGAGCCGCAGCTGCTCAACCGAGGTCCATCCGCGGAGGCCTTTGCTCTATGCCATGCCCACCTTTGATCCCAGGCGGGCTGTTGGAGGTTTGCTGTTTTTTTTCATGGAGAGACAAGTCGACAGGTCTATGTTCCAAGAGGTTTCCAGTTCGTCTGGAAGGGTTTTTGCATTGAGAAAACAAGGTAGGTCGACAAGTCTATGTTCCAATAAAGAGGTTTGTCAATGAGTCTATGTACCAGTAGAGGTACAACCTCTATGTTCCAATTCAGTTAGAGGTTTCCTGTAATTTTGTGTATAACGATTCTGTTCAAATAGCTGGGAGAAGCTGGCCAATCTTTGCTTCTTACGGACCACTATTACTTGGGGGCCAGAAGCAAAAACCTGTTCCCAGCTTCTTCGCAACTGGGTAGTGGCAATTGGCACAAGGAGGTCGCCAGAAGAAAGAGAGACAGAGAAGAATCATTCTCAGCTTCTTCAAAGTGACCTTTCTTGAGTCCCTTTTTTTTGGATCCTTTGTAGACAATATATTATGTGACCTTAATGAACCAGGGTATCAAAAGTTCACTTTGAAGAACAAGGGAATGGCTGTCGTCACATAGAATCTGCATATATATATATATGGATTAATGCAGATCGTGCTGGAGCTTGAGGATGAAGAATGACCATGACCCCCGAACCAGGTGGGAAGATGTCAAAGCACCTGTAATCAGTGTTGCAATCGAAATTCGATCATGACGTTTTGGTTTCTGGCCTTCCGCATTCCAGGTACAACAACTTTCAGTACGAGCCACTCATCTCAGGACCGGCTGACAGATGCAGTGCTCTCAGACCCTGAAGCAACCGCTCTGACCAAACACGAGCTGAATCGCCTGCCTTCACCTCGTGGAAGGCCAGGAGAGACATGAAGGTCCCTTTGATCCTCCAGATTTAACCAACAGAAACTGCAACGGACTTGAAAGTCATCCACCAGAATCTTGAAGATTTTGAAACATGCGCTTCAGCCATCTACGATTCATGAGAGCTCTTGCACTTGGTACCCTCTTCTCGTACGGCGCGAACCCGAGACATCCCGGGATCCCCGCAGGAACGGATGCGACCCGCAAATGGATGGTGGAGCCGGGCCGCTCAGAGCGTCGTCGCATCGCAGACGAGACGAGACGAAGCGACCCGTCCCAGTGGAGAAGCGATCAATCGACCCGACCGGTCTGGGGGGGCCGGGGGAGGCCGGATTGACCATACACAGCCATAATAAGATCCCATAGCGATGACGAGCCCCAACTGTGAACTCTGGACTCTGGACATAACTGTAGACCAGTCACCAGTTCAAAGGCAAACGGAAGGGTAGTGCACAGAAAGGGTTTTGCAAAAACCGATTCTACTAACGTCGTGGAAGGCGCGTGACCTTCGTAGAACCCAAGGCTGTTCGTGGACAGTTCGTGGAATGGTGGGCCAGTAGGAGAACTGACTGCAACGAAATCCCAGAAACCTTCGCAGAACTTCGTGGAAGGTATTTTTGATGCACTAACTTCGTATAAGCGATTTTTGCTGACCCCCTTTCTCCACACACCCTCCGTTTAGCCTTCACCAGTCCCATTATTAGAATGCATACGTAGATATAAGAGTGGTAGCCCCCCCTGGCCCTCATGTGGTGGGGGTGGAGGCCTGTGCAGGGAGTCCCTATCCTAGGGCTATAGGAATAATGCACATGGATGGTTTTGTATCATAGCCAGATGTGACCCCTCTGACTCACACGCTTGTGCCTGAGGAGAGAGTTCTGGTCTGCGGAGGAGTCCCTGGCTTCTGGCGCCGAGTTCGTTGGGGTCTCGGGTGAAGCAGTGGACGTGCATTGAGTATCATGTTCATCCATTTTCCACACTATGTGCCGCATGGGTCTACAGTCTACAGTGTGTATGCTCATGGGTATTTGAAAGCCAATTGGCCAGCTCTGAGCTCGGCTCGGCCACCAGGCCAGCGAATTCTGGATCGGCTACCAGTCGACGACGCCCAGTGGACCGGGACGGGAGATTGGGACGGTTCGGTCTGGTCGCTTGGAGGCGAGACGCGACAGGACAGGGAATTGATGAAGACCGCCATTTTCTCGCGTATGTCATGCATATGTCAGGATATTTGCCCAGCCTCAGAGGGCTCGCAATCATGTTTGTTCGATAGCTATTGATCACTGGAAAGAAGGATGGAAGAAATCACTTGCACATGAGGGTGGACCAGGTCGACTCAGATTGTGGGGGCATGCTTTGGCCCAATCGCGACGAAAGAACCTTCGAAGTCGAACCGAGCGAACGAGGTTGTTTGGGATCGAACTCGCAGAAGTCGATGCAACACGTTGAGAACTTGGGGCGATCGATGTAGTTCTTTCGCTTCGGATATCCGAGAGATGTCTTATATAAGGCATTATATCAGGAGGAACCGTACCTTCCCACCACGCCCCTGGTCGCCGATCCCAGGTGCACGGCGGAGGAGCCGAGGTGCCCGGTGCCCAAACAGGATGCCAACAAGTGGAGGCCCACTGGACACGGAATGAAAGGACGGAGTTTTGGAGCTTTTGGAACAGTTTTGAAGTGTTTGATGGTTTTCACGAAAGCTAGCCGATCGGCGATCGGCTGAAGTGATTCAAACGAGCGAGTCGAGTCTGAGGGTCGAGTCTGGGGAGGTGAGGAGGTGAAGTGGATGTCAACCATACCTGGATCTAACGGCACAATCTCTTTGCCAGAGGCATTTTTCAGTGAAAAGGCGTCGTAATCACAGAAAAACCACTTTTTGACGGGGAAAGACGCCGTTTGGACGCCTCAAACCGCAGTTTCTTTTTGGTTTCCGCTGGTCACAACAAAAGCGCCGTCTTTGGAAACACACGCCGTAACGGCATTTTTTCTTGACGAGGCAATTATTTGTGCCATTTCAAAAATCAAGGTATTAGCCTGCTGGTGTTTTAGTTTTTACTTTGCCAATGTGACTTTTGATGGGTTGGCGATGCATAAGATGCAAGGTGCATAGTTTGGTGATGCATAAGATGCAAGGTGAATGGTTAGGTCATAATTTGCATCAGCAACCTGCTCCAAAAACACTATTCAGTTTATACATGTGTATTGAATGTTTGGGTGACATTCTACTCAGACTACATCCGTCCGATCAACCTCCCCATGGTTGAGATCCTCTAAGAAAGGCGACCAGATCCCGATCTCCTTGGCGACGCCACATCCACCACTCAGCCGCGAGTGCCAGGTGCTACAGCTTCTCAAGCTCTCAGGAGTGATGAGCTGAACCATGCTGACCCCCAAAGACCCTTTTCCTTTCGCAGATACTGAGTCCTAAGACTCTCGGTTCAAACTCATGCAAACAACCACGCACCTACACGGCGTGAAAATCAGGCTGGACGTTCTGCGGGCACGTATCAACATCCATCTCAAAGATACGCTGAATGAATCTGAATGAGCAGAGCTGTCCAGCTAAACAGAGGGAACCACTGAACCCGCAAAACAGGTGACGCTTCATCTATTTGAGTCCCATACCCATACCCGAAAGGAAAGCAGAACCCATTGATGGCGATCCAGTCATCGTCACCCAATCGAAAGTAACTGGACAGACAAGCTGAGCATCTCGGGGAGATGCCACTCTTGGTGAGTGTCACTTGGCTCCGGAACTAACTTTTCTCTTGGTCTCATGAACCGTTGTGTAGAGAGAAAGATGGGGGTAAAGGATGGTCCTTGGGCTTCCCAAGAGAGCATTTTGCTTCTACAATTTCAATCCAGGCCTGTAAAGCTTCAGTGTTGTTCAAGGAACAGTACCACAGCCACCGCCCAGTTTTCGTGAACGAAAGACATGCCGTGACATGCTGTTCTGCGGGGAGTGCTATGCGCTCGACTCTTTCAGGACATCAACTGGTGCCGAAGCGTTGGAACAGATGATTGCTGGGACACCCAGCAGTCTTTTTTATATATTTTTGCTACTGTTTTTTTAGTTTAAATTTAAAACAAAGAAGTGTTCAGATTCATGTTTTGCACAGCTAAAACCACGCAAAACACTGTGTTTGCTAGTGTTTGCTTAGCTGCTGCACTCTCTCATGCGTTCACGTAGGTAACGGGCAAAAGAATACTGTACTGGCACGAGCCATGTGGTGCAACACGGCCCGGTTTGGCGTCACTGGACCCGACGCAAAAAGTGACACCATGACACCTAACTCTTTAGATTCGATGTTCTTGACGGTGTGTGTGATGAATATGGTGTCAACATGTGATGAATATGGTGTGTAGGTTTTTAAGCATATTGTGTTTGTTGAGGGCTTTTCCCTCAGGCGTGTGACAGCAGTACAGGGCTTGCATCAGCTATAGCTTGACTGACGCATCTATTTTCATCTATTCTTCCAATCCTTTGCATGCAGGTTGGGAGTACGCGGAGAACGATTGGTCTTCCTCCATGTCAGACTGTGCTGGATGTGCTTTGGCTGCAAAACATCATGATAGTAGTAGTAGTAGTAGTAGTAGTAGTAGTAGTAGTCGTAGTCGTAGTCGTAGTAGTAGTAGTAGTCGTAGTCGTAGTAGTAGTAGTAGTAGTAGTCGTAGTCGTAGTCGTAGTCGTAGTCGTCGTAGTAGTTGTTGTCGTTGTCGTTGTCGTTGTTGTAGTAGTCTAGAGTCCAGCTTGTGCAGAGTTTTGGCCACCGGAACTCACCTGTGCTTGGATGACTGACGTCCTCAAAGAGGAGCACCTCTTCGTTAAGTTTATGTCGACCATTTATGCTTCCACTGGAGCACTCAAATAATAATAATTTTTGCAAAAAAAAACAACAAAACGAGAACACACTGCAGATTTTGAGAAAAAGAAAATATAAAGGAAAAAAAACAAACATACAAACCAAAGCATAGGGGAAATCATTCTGAGATGTCTGATCCTTCCTCACTACGGCTAAGTGGTGGCGCTGATGTCATTATTTTGCTCCAGGCAGGCTGGGCTTCTGCCTAGCTAGGAGGTAGCCAGCTGCAGAGCTCTGAGCTGTGAGCTAAATCCAGCCAAAACAGTGTGCAGAGCCAACATTTGCACATGGGAGTTGGTTCAAAGACAAACACGTTTCTGATTCTTCAGCAATGCATTGGTAGCCTGGTTGCCAACTTTTATGCGGTCGTATGTTTGGTATCATGATTGCTGTTGTGTGTGTGGGACCTGGTTCTTTTTGTGATCTTGACTCTTGATTGTTGCTTTATGCAATCTGCGCAGACATTGCTCCTGATGTTCAGCGGACCGTCAGTCTGATATATCTAAGTTTAAATCATTAATGTTCTTGCTTGATTATTGACCTGTCTCAATTTCTTTGAGAATGCCCTTCCAGCATCTGTATCGATCAACCAGTCTATATACCTGGCTTTTGTAGTTGTTCACTCAGCTAATAGCTGCAGTGCAGCTTGCTTGCTTGTGTTTGTTTTGTGGATGTTTCTGATGCATGCTTCGTCCTGTGCTTCTTGCAGTGTTGCAGAAACAATATTGTTTATTTTTTCTGTTTGTCTTAAAACTTTCTATTCTTACTGTTTTTTCTTAGTTATTGTTGTTTTTTTCCTGTTTTTTCTTTTATTACTTTTTTGAGGTTGTTCTTTGCTTGTATTGTTTTTCTATTTTTTCTTAAATTTAATATTTTCACTATTTCCAATAGTAGCATTGATCTGGACAACATAACGTTAAGTACTTGTTTGTCTGCTATGGATCTGCCAAACATTCTCTTGAACATATTTAGGGTCTGCCCTATTGCCTGTAACAGTCAGTAAACAATTATCACTATTTCTGAACAAGGCTTTTAGTATCCATTGACCATAGTCATCCACTGTTACTGCCAATAGGATAGACCCAATACATATATACATATATATCCTATAACGACATGTCCATGAAGGACTGGAGATAGAAGGACTGGCATTTGCAACAGAGTGAACTGTTTTTTTTGTTTCAGCTTCGGGGCCACCGCCTTTGGATCAACTCGCTCGGAGACGACTGCTGTCGTCTCACAGGCTCCTGCTGTCGCCGTGCAGCTGCACCGAATCTGGATGGGTGAGGAGCCCGATCTTCAAACATGACGTGCAGTGTCTTTACACGAGCATTCGGTTTCGAGACCTCAATGGGTTAGGCCCACACACTACGGTAGTGCTTGATGTTGCCCCGACACCCATGGTCTCCGACATGTTCCAAAGAGCTTTTTGGTTCTTTTGGGCACCATGTGTTGGGCACCAGGTCAGCCAAGCTGGGTGCTACTCTAGCCCAAAAAGATATCTTCTAGTAGATAGAACTTGAACAAGGAACGAACACACATGAAGAGCACAGTATCCCTTGCCTCAGATCTCCACATTCCAATAGAGGTTAAGTGACCTGATAGGACCTGTCACCTGGGGTACCCAACTGGGATAGTCGAACTAGGGTCCTGAAAAACATCTGTTGCTTTGAAAGGCCATCGTTGAGAGGGGTGATGGATCACATTTTTTTCTCCCCAGAGCGAGCCGCTGCAGCTCAGCCGGTGTGAGGCCTCGAAGTACCTGCTGCGTACTCTTCAACGATCTCACCCTGAACTACACGGTGACCTCCAACTTGACCCGTTGTGTGCCTTGTTTTGAATCGATCGTTGTGTCCGCAGAATTTGGGACTCGCAGTCAAGAAGCTCTTTGTACAGTATGGTCGGTGGCACAAATTCTTCCACCCGGACCCACGAATGCTCCAGACCTTGTTCCAGATCTAAGTTGCAGACTGCGGACCCGCTGTCTTTCTCTTGAATCTTAGATTCTTATTGACAGGCCAACCCAGTGGTTGGAGGGTCTCCCACTTCAAACATGTGCACAGATCATCCCAGTACCTTAGTACATGTTGTGGGATGCTCTAAGAAAGTATAGTGGACACTTCTTATCATTGGTAGAAAATGGCCTACATGGATCTTGCACGCCGCGCTGGTTCACCTGGACGTGTTGGGTGCAGAGGGACCATTGATCTTTTGCTGGTGAAAAGCTGCTGGGGGATTTTTTTGGGGCGTGCAAATTTTATGGGGCCAAGAAGAAGCTCCAAATCAGATGAACGATCTTGAACGATATTGACCTCCAACTTGACAAGGTGTGTGTGCCTTAGTTTTGAAAGGACAAGGAACAGCAAAAGGTGACCAGTCCCAGTCGAAACGCCTTCGGTGTTTCTCCGCGTTCAGCCTCCGAGGCGCCGAAGGCTATCATGGAGATACCGCAGGAGGAACGCCTTCAGGAGAGATCGACCAGGGTTGGCGACCGGTCCCTCTCGATCGACCGGGTCGGCGACCGGTCAAGATCTCAAGGGTTCGGAGGCGTCGACGGAGAAGGGGTGTTCGGAGGCGATCTCCGAGTCTTCAGATCGCATCTGATCACGTGCTGGGCGCAAGCGCTGGAATGCGCAGCTCACTCTCGCAAGCGCTGGAATGCGAGAAGTGGCTTCTTTGGGGGGGGAAGCCACTGGAAGACACAAATGGAACTCCGCAGCATTTAGGATCTCCCCCGTTCGCGGTCCGGCTCGGAGCCCTGATTCGGGGTGGTGAGTTCGCAACCAGGAGAAGGAGACGTCGAGCAAAGAGCTAGTGAGCCCCAGACTGCATGGACGACATGTTGTGACTGGGGAGATTGGGACTCTGAATTCTGACATGTTGCGTGTAGCTGTGCAGGTAGATCACATACAATCCACAATCTGTTTTCTTTGATGATCCTTTGACAGATTTGTGTGCTACAAGACCTGGGACATCCTGGGACGGTTTCTATTCCAATTGCCCGGACGGCCTAACTCAGATCACACGGCTCGTCCATCGCTTGAGTCTGTGAGGCCAGTCGTGGAATGTGACCGCTCGATGCCTGAACCGTGCAGAGCACAGGGGAACATGGTTGGATCCGTGTTTGCATCACTGTGAAGCACTGTGCCCCTGCCACAAATGGAGTCAATTGAGGGGGCCTGGCCTGTAGTGCGTACATATAGATCCATAAAGCATGGTGCTACAATGAACCCATGATTCGTCCAGGCTAGACTCTTCAAGAGGTTGAATATGGTTGAGGTTGCCTTGGCTCTGCATCAAAGGTTCAAGGCGATGCCCTGCTGGCCAAGAATTCCAAAGGATCCTTGTCTAATCCACAAGGACCCAGCGTTTTCCAAAATTCTGAGATACTGTATCTGCTTCATGTGGTTTTGTGCCCATGACAATGGAAGGCCATTCTTCATTTGATACACTCCTTTGGACCTTGCTTTTTTTTGGTATGAAGGAGAAGTCCTTATTTGCATCTACGTTGCGAATCTTCATTAAATACTTGGCTCCGTCATGCTCCATCAATGGCTGCTCGTGATCGAAGTATAACAGCTGAACCAAAATGGACATTGAAGGCCTTCAGATTCCCCAAGTGCAAATTATTTCCTCCCTTCAGCTTCGCAAGCGGTTTCGTCCCAGCGGGTGTTGCTTCGTTTCGCAGCGCCGGGCGAGGTTGGACGTTCAATCTGCACCGGAAGAGCTTAAGGTGCTCGCGAACTCTCCGCGGACGAGCGAGAAGACTTGGGGTCATTCCCAGTTGAGGGATGTCGTAGTTGCCCAGCGTACGGTTAAGGTATGTCAAGATTCTTTGGTCAAACGTTGCCAGGTATAGAAAGTCTTGTTGAAGTACTGTTGGCCTGGGAGTGGTGTTGACAGCAGTAGTTCTGGCCAGAGCCGTCACACGGCACGGAGGGAGCGAGGGTTTTGGCCTGGGGGGCTTAAATATCGCGCTTGTGTGACTGACACTGATGCAAAATTGGCAGACATACAGCAATAACAAACAAATACCTCAGACATCCTCAGACAATAGAAGAGGATAACAGTGATCACAAAATTCATGTTGCTTTAGGTCCAGAGAATTGACGTGCGTTTTTTCTAGATTGGATTTTGTGAAACTTCAATTCCTTTTGGACCGAAGAAAGCATCGATCAATTGGAACCAATTGGAACTTTCATTTCCATCTGGAATTCACTGGATCAGTCCGGTCTTTTTTCCTCGATCAATCCCGGTGAATCGAGGAAGGAGACCAAGACGAGCGTGTGTGTTCACCGTGCCGCAAAACCGTGAACACACCTCGAAAACAGAGAGACTCTGGATTCACCAATCAGTTGGAGAAAATCAACCTTCTCCACTATGTCTCCACCTATTCTTTGGTATCCCTAAGCTCTGCAGAAGTCCGAAATCCCACGTAGTTCAATGGAAAAACAACATTTCAAGGGGGCCAGCCTGGCTTAGATAATGCTTTTTTGGGGGGTGGGGTACCAAATTTCTAATCCGGAAAGTACCGTCCGACTCCCAGGCGGGCGCCACGGTGGAAGAGACCCTCACCTGGAGCCGTGCGCGACTCCAACGGGCGGAGGAAGAGCCGGCTGCCCAGGTGGAGCTGGCATGGGTATCCAAAAAGGCCATGATGAGGATCAATAAAACAGCTGTTAAGTCAGGAAGGATAATAATAATCAGGAAGGATGAACATTCAGTCAGGAAGGATGAAACGATTTGGTATTGTGCGCAGTTTGTTTTGTTGGCAAGGGGGGAAGGCGCTGCGCCCTCCCCCCTAACACTCCTCCTTCCCGTGCCACAAAATCGCACAAGTTAAGTTAATCTTTTTTTTTTGGTGCTCTGCTGAGTCTGCCACAAAGTATGCTGGTGGCATGCTGCTGGGGGTGTGCCCAAAAACCTGGGCAAGTTTTGGGCCTTTGCACTCTCTTTCAACCCTGGGCTAGGACAATTTTTTAAAATTTTAGTTTATTCTGTCTTGTTTAAAGATGTGTTTTAGTGATTTCAAAAATAGCATCCTTTTGATCCCCCCGTGATAATTTTGTTTGATCCTCTTACCTTACCGTTGGGATGGTAGGTCCTTTGGAGGGGGGCTCCACGTGATTTCCATTTGTTTAAAGATACCCTATTGACGTGATCAGATGTGATCAAATACTTCTTTTTTTTCTGACACCACTGCTTTCTCCTGAGGTTCCAGAAGCAAGAGTGGGAACGCATGCCATCACCAAACAGCTGGCACAATGAGGTGCAGATGGTGCTAATTAGGGTGTTGTCAGTCGGCTGAATGGCATGTCTTTTGCTCCACAGCTCTCAGGTGATTTCACAGTTTGCCGTCAGTGTTTTTTGCATGATTTTGGCTTTAGTTTTGGTTAACATATATATACCTAGACCCCGCAAAAGACGTTTTTTTTTTTTTTTCTGGTGAGGGCAATTTTCAGGCGAAGCTCAAAAAACCCACACAACAAACAGTTGTGGTGTCGATTTTTGTTACTTCTGCGTTGTTTTTTGTCACTTCTGCGTCATTTTGGCGTCATGTTTTCTATCGCGAATTTGCTGCATGTTTCTGCGTCATGTTTTCTGGCGAGACGGAAAAAAAGACATCGTTTCAGGGTCCAGTATATATTAAGATGAAAGAAGCGGCAGACCAGAGGTTAATTTACACATGTTACACGACATGTATATTTAATCAGTCTATATTATGTTTCCTTTCCTGGTCTTCTTTGCAAACCGCGAATCCTTGGAGGATCGGCATCGCCTTTGATCGCCAGGTCGTGTACAGCCTCATGGTGGATCGCTTTGCCAATGGAGACCTCTCCAATGACCAGCACAACATTCCATCCTTCCAAAAGCAGGACATGACAAGCCCGCCATCACACCACTCCCCACCGGAAAGCGGGAAACGCGCCGCGATTCGACGCGCTGCGATTTCCGTGTTTGGTGTGGTGTTTATGTTGTTTGTCTCCGGCAAACAGACCTGTTGGCCCGTTGGAGGGATATGTATAGGGTTTTGTTATGTCTTCTTGGTCGAATGTTCGAGGAGAAGCCTAGGGATTAAAGCAGGATTGCCGGTCGAATCCGCTTGATGTGCTTCACACAGAAGCCTACAAAACTGCAAACATCGAGCCTTTCTGACGCAGTGTTTGATTGACTGCATGAGTTTGGAACTGACAAGAAACTCCATGCTTGGACCGGCTGCACGAAGCCGGAGTCCACTCCGATACGGGCCATTCGAGCGATTGGCTTGGCGTCCTCGCATTCGCCGCGTGCGACGTTCGGCTCGTGGAAAGATGAAGAACCAACTTCGGTGGCGTCATGGGTCTTTTTCCATCTTTTTTCATTATCTTGCCATGGCCAGAGGTGCAAGAGGAAAGGCGAGAAGTACTTCTTTGGAGACCCAATTTCGTTGTGTATTTTATTGGGACCCCCAGGGTATGTTGGGGAGATCTCCCTGTTTGAATACACACCCATATGTCCACACGACGCTTCACATGTCCACACGACGCTTCATTTTCCTCAGCATCCCTTCTCTCCTGGCTTGGTTGGGTGCTCAGGAGTTGTCTGTGGGTGAGCCCTGGTCGTTGCAGAAATGGCGCCACGGTCCGGAATCCGAGTGCCAAGGAGAGAGGTGAAACGATTACATCATGGTGCCAAGGAGTGCCTGGTGGACATCTCAACGCACATATGTTTGGACCTTTCTTGGCTCCAAGGGAATAAAGACATATATGTATATAGACACACACATATAGTATAGATATATAGAGTATAGAGTATATAGAGACAACTTCTAGACCAGGGTTTCGCATCAAAAAGCAGTTCCCTTTGTAGGCGCTGTGTTTCCAGGGCGCCGACTCGACCGGTCCATTCACCCGGATGCGCCCGAAGTGTTCGGGTTCGAACTACTTGCTCAAGCGATTCGAAGGGACCGGGACAACTGTTCACGATAGGGTTTTTTTCTTTTGTTTGTTGCAACAATGATCCCTATACACACATCCTATGTTTTAGAACAGTGCGCAATCCAAAGGGAGTCATTGAGAAGAGCAACTCGAATCATCTGAGAAAAAAAACACAGACACCGGAAACAGCCACCCTGCTGAGGTGGTGATTTGCTCGGCGTGATGTCCAGGACGGGCCGCGGGTTGCGCGCGAAGACGAGCGCGAAGACGCGCGGGTTGCGCTCGAGGTCCGCTCGTGGCCGTGGAGGGACCTCTGCACGAGTAGGTCGCAAGTAAATGACGTTTTGGGCCCCAGTTGGCGATCATCGGACTGTTTTATGTAGTAGGTTCATTGGAATTTCCACCGGTTGAGTTCATTTTTGAATGCAATGCACCACTCACATCCACTCAGCGCAGTCGCACTGAGCAGAGCGAGTGCTGTTCGTCACTTGAGATGACGAAGAGGCACTTTTTCGAGAAACCTCGCGGTGTGGTGACCACGATTCCCGATTTGTTTTGATGGCGAGGATCAATGTCGTCCTGTGCGAGCGGTTCTTGGTTGGAGACCTGTTTGTACGCGTTCGGCCACACGAATCAAGTGGAAGGAGATTCCTCCGTTCAATTTGGCCACCGTTTCTAAACC